TTTCAAGTTGGACTCGTCATGTGTGTTTTCTAAGAGAAGGTTGGGGAGTGGGAAAGGTGAAGGAGAGGGGTGACGAGACTAATATTTCAGAGAATATTTATTGAGCACATACTACGTGTCATGTATGGTGATAAGTATTATATATATATTATCTCCTTTGCCCTATCAGCAGGCACAATACTTTTCATTTTACAGAAAACCAACGTGTCCATGTTATACAGATAAGTGGTTGAGAGTTGAAGCCAAGTCTCTGACTCCATTCTATGTGTTCTCCAGATTGTTGCCCAAAATCTAGGATTTAGGGAAAGGGCCTAAAAATGTTTGGTGCTGAAACTTACAAAGAGAGATTTACTAGCACAGGGGTGGCAAAGCCCCCTAGTTTGCAGCGTGTGCTTAGTGATGGGATGGTTGAACGCCAGTGTGTAATTTTAACAAATGCTGACCTAGATTCACCTGGGCATCTATACCACTGCTGCGTGAGTTTCCAGTTTGTATCACTTCCAGGTCATTAAAATGCATAACTTAATGCCTTCCAAAATATTAGAACACAACATTTTTGTGGGGCCACTGCACTGTCCTCCGCAGTTGTACCGCCGAAGTGGTGATCCACTCTGAAGTAGCTGTGAAATTAGCGAGGCAGGACAATAGCCAAAATGTCATTCGTGCCAAGCAGCAAACCCTGAAGTTTTGTCAGAAGAGGCTGCTATTATTTCATAAACAATAGGGATTTTCTCCAGCAGAAACACATCTGGTGACCACGGGAGATCATCTTTAATCCCCTATAATGAGTTCAGTAGCTGTCACAACACTGTATGATTACTTGAGCTTAACTGCTCTATTAGAGTGTCGTGCAGCCCGGACAAATCCACACTTAGTTAACACCATCGCTTTGTTGGTTGGCCTTGGTTTTCTTTCTTTTGTTTTTACTAATTTTGTGGTACTACTGCTCATCAGTCACCCACGCAGGGAAACTGGGGTCGTTCCGACTCCTTCTAACCTCTGTGCAGCACATTTCCTGAACATGTCTCTCCACTCCTGTCGCCTCTGCCGTAGTTCAGGCCCTCATCTCCATGCTCCTGGACTCTTTCAACAGCTGCCTGTTGGAGCCCTTGTCCCCAGCCTTTTCCTCAAGCTCATTTTCCACACAGTCAAGCATCTTCTATCTGAACCCAAGACTGGCCAGTCTCTGCCTGTTTAATACCCTTCAACTGTCCTCACTGCCTACAGAATAAAGCCCAAGGCCCCAGAATGGCTTCGGGAGCCTCTCCAGCCCCTTCTCCCCTTCTTAGCCACAACCATGACCTCCAGCAGTGCTGACCTTCTGGTGTTTTTGCTAGGCACAGGTCTATTGTTTCTCCCTTCTGAGCCTTTTGCTCAAGATGTCCCCTTTGTCCAAAATGCCCTCGATGCCCACCCCATCCTCCAGCCCCCTCCCATTCTCTGAGAAGCAGTTCAGATGGCACGCCCTCCAGGGACCCTTGCCCCACCACACTGAGCACGCACCCTCTGCTCCTGCCTGAGGTGGGGATCCTCCTCTCTGTTCCCATGCCTCCAGGAACACCTTTGGCATTTTTAAAACTGTATTACTGTAACCATCATCGCCCTCACTACATTTTATTGTCATTCTCTGTTGAGGCACCTGTTGTCCTTCTTTATGATGTTAGCCCATTCTTTCAAAAGTAGAATAGAAAAAGGTCAGTAGTGGCCTGTAGTAAAATACACAAGAGATATGACCAGAAGGGCCATAGGGAAGAATGCAAGTGGCTCTTAACCATATAAAAAGATGTTCAATGTGGCTAATAAAAACAACAATAAAAGTACATTACTATGTTACTATTACTTACCTGCCAGAATAACATAAATCCAGATGTTTGACAACATGCCCTGTGGGTGAGGCCACATGGAAACAGTCATTCTCAGACAATGGTACAACCAGCGCAGAGAACTTGGCAACATCAGGCAAGTTTATTTATGCTTTTATTCTTTGCTCTGGCAATTGCACTTCTAGAAACTTATCTCAAAGATGTACTATAAAGTATAAGAGAAGCTATATGTAGAAAGCTGTACTTTATAGTACTTTTTGTAATAGCAAAAGATTGGAAAAAGCCCATATGATCATTAATAAGAGGATTGCTTGAATAAATTCGGATAAATCCATGCAACAGAGTATTTTGAAGCTGTAAAAAATGAGAGATATCTTTATGTAATATCATAGAGTGATGGGCAAGTCTGTTAAGTGAAAAAGCGAGGTGGCAAAACGTGTTTAGTTTGTAACCGTTTTCCTGAGAAAGGGGAGGATATGATTATAAATATATGCTTATAGCTTTTACAAATGTTCCTACAAGAAAAAGGAAGTAACGAGATGGAAATGACAGGATAAAAGCTAGACTTCTCTAAATATCCCTGATTTTAAGGATTTTACTTTGAAACCATGTAAATATTTTACTTAATTATAAACTAATTGTTTCAATCTCTAAAAAATGAAACAAAACAAATGAACCTAAATATGTACTGAACTGGTGGAACAGTCTCATAGGAAAGAACTAACTCTGATTTCTCTCCTCTGGGCCACTTCCTTCCAGCCTGTTTTCACCAGAATTGCTGACCCACAACTAATTGGAAGATTTGTAACAGTCTTTAAGGCAAAGCGGAAGCCTACGTTTCTCATGATGGGTTCATGGGAAGTCCTCAGCCAAAACCACAATCTCTTTATTTTCTGCTTTGGTTACTAAAAAATTATTTTTCCTCATTTGGGTCCTTCCTTCCTTTCTCTTTTCAGCATCATGAAAACCACAAGTGAAGCACCCAAAATAGGCAGATTTTCATCTTCCACAAGGAGGTTTCAACTTGGGTGATATGGAAATGGCAGATCCAAGGACACCAACAGGTCATGTTCAGAAAGAAGCGTTCACCTGAAGATAGAGACCCCTTGACTACAGTAACCAGAACACGGTCACCTCAGAAGGAAGAGAAAAGCTTCTGAAACTGCCAAGGGCCAGCAGGGAGAGAAAGAAGAGAGATGCAGGTCACAACCAAGGAAGATGACAAGAAGGCATTCTCTGCTGAAGATCAGTAGCTTAAGTCTGACTCTACTGGGAAAATCCAAGAATTTTCTGGTTAGAAAGGATGAATGGTTGAAATCACATTTGTGTGCACACATGTCGCCTGTCTGGTTGTCGCTAGCCGGTTTTTCTGAAAGTTAGGGGTCAAGATGGTTATTTGGGATCTACACCTGCGGACAGAAAGAGGCTCAAGTAGGACTGTGCAGAGGAAGAAGCTGAAGTGTGATGAGGGCTCAGCAAAGCCTCAGCCCACCAGGAGAAAACCATTCAGTGGCAGACAGAAATGACTGGCTGTTCAAGCCCTTCCTCACTTAGTCACCTGACACAGGCTGCTCCCGAAAGAGCCTGACCTAAGACTAAAGAGGCAGCTCCCTGCTGGGAAAGCTGGCCCTGAACTTGCTGACAGCTGGAGGTTGTCTGCTGACAGCACTTTCTGCAGCTGAGATACAGCCCTTCATTTAAGGGGGACCTGGGTGATGTCTCTCTCTGCCTACCATACTAGAAAACCTCTTCCTAGTTAACACAGTGATTTTATTTTAATTTCTCTCAACAAACAAAAGATATATTGCATTTTCAGGAAAGAACCCCATTTACTTAGTGTTGAATTTGAAATTACTATCAGAACTTATATTCCATGGATTATCAGTGGTCAGTATTATATTTCTGGGCAGGCTGGAATTCACTGTTTATTTTTTCACCCCACAAACATTTATTAAATGTCTATTGCATAGCAGTCTCTGGAAATTGAAATATGAATAAAAATGCTTTTCCATAAAGTCACAGGAGAGTCTAGTGGGGAAGGCAGACAAAATAGACAAAAACAAGTGGTAAGGGCTAAAAAATGAGGTATACACAAGATACTACAGAATTAAAGGGCCCTGGCTGGTGTGGCTCAGCGGATTGAGTGCTGTCCTGTGAGCCAGAGGGCACATGCCCTCAATTCCCAGTCAGGGCATGTGCCTGGGTTGCAGGCCAGGTCCTCAGTCGGGGGTATTCGAGAAGCAATAAGATTTTATTTATTTATTTTTAGAGAGGGAAGGGACGGGGGTGGGGAGAGAGAGAGAGAGAGAAACATCAATGTGTGGTTGCCGGGAGTCATGGACTGCAACCCAGACATGTACCCTGACTGGGAATAGAACCTGCGACACTTTGGTTCGCAGCCCGAGCTCAATCCACTGAGCTACGCCAGCCAGGGCGTTAAATAAATAAAATCTTTAAAAAAAATAATTAAAGGGGCATGTAGGAGAAAATGCTTTGTTATGTCTATAGCCATCCTCCTAGAAGAGGAGGTGTGGGCTCTGGCTCTGAGGACGAGAAGCATTTGCAAATGTTATACGAAGAATGAATTGCACGTGTAAAGCTCAGAAGACTGAAAGAGCATCGCACATTATGGGAACCATAAATAGATCACTTATAACCAAGGCACATATTATCTTTAAGGAAGTATTGGAATCTGGGGCTGGAAGGAAATATAGTATATAAAATTATCTTATTCATCTATTAATATAATTTTATTTTTATCTACCCCATTTCTCAAATGTATTTAACCATAGTTTGTGGTTTTCGTTTGTTTGTTGCAATAACACCCCTCTACAGAATGTTCTTTGGGAAATGTTGATTGAAGCTGCCAGGTCATCTGTGACAAGCTGCTCTAGATCTAATACCTGGACAGGTATGTTTTCACTTGATATGGACAGATAAGGAGGAGATATTGGACGCAATTCCTGGGAATGCTATTGCTGTCTTGGAGACTGGAATACTGAACTCTGCTGGAAGGAACTCCCTACCTGCCTGTCATAAAGAGTCCTTAGCAACCACTCAGCTCAGGGCACAGACAGGGAGAGTAGAGACCATAGAATCTTTGACTCCAGCTGGAGCAGATAACTGGTCTGAGGAAGCCCAGGAAGCAAATCCAGTAGCACAGTTACAACCTTGGCCATGGCATCTGTGGCATATCGAGAGCCCCTGTCTACCACAGTGGGAAAACGCATGATTTTTACCGGTAAGGAGACTTTCTGTAGGCTTTCTCAAGGAGATCTAAACTTTCTTCATTCTTCACCCATTTGATGCTCACACATGACACTCACATAATGGACATAAGAGTGGAATAATCACATATGTTTATTATTTAGGACACTGCCACTCTTATTATGCACACTCAGTCTGGGCACCAACACTGTGCTGCCATTGGCAGATCCGTGACATCCAAGTTCTCACTATGTCTGACTTCCACAAGGGAATGTTTTTATATCATAAAGTTTGTTTTATGTAAGAGGAACTACTCTGATACTAATAACAAGTATACCTTAATCAAATTTTAATTATTACTGATTTAACCTTCATGTACTTTTAGAAACTTGACCTATTTGACTGATAAAAATTTGAGCAAGATGTGCATGAACCTAGTAAAATTTTTGGCTTGTGTTTTGTTCCTTTAACTTTTAAAAAATTACTTGATGGCTACAGGTGTGTGGAATTATCATAAAAGTATAATTAAATAGAATATGACTAGTTGTGATAAGTCTATAAGTAATAAACTAAATGTCATCTGATTTCCTTTATATTTTTATACAATGAGCACATCTCATAAGCCTATCCCTTTGTTTATATGTAAATTCCCACTCCAGTCATAAGAAATCTGGCCCCATCTATCTGCCATTTGATTTACTTGTTTAAGTGTTACCTGTACAATACAATGGTCAGAATTGTTAACCTGTGCTCCATGGTAAAACCAACCAAACAAACAAAACCTATCAACCAGAGCTATATGCTTCCTTGCAGTTCCTTTTGTTTAAAACTTGCAGGTTCTACTCATTTCTAATGTTATAACCTTCAGTGAGGCTGTCATACATTTGGAATACAGTCAGATTCTCTTGCCACTGTCTGAATTCTCCCTTAGAAAGGAATGATCACAACATGGAATTTCTGTTAGAAATACATTAGAATGTGGAACAGTCTCTAGGACATGGCCAAAAGCCATATGATGAATGAAACTCTAAGTGGTAGAAGAAATACATAAATGTGTATGTAATTTTGAAAAGCATTGCTCCATTAGCCTGGGTTTCAGACCCATTTATTCATCTCGTTTTTTGTCCTGTGCAACTGCCACACCAGCAGTTAGGTCTCAAATTCAATCTCTTTAAAAATAGAAAATGACTTCACACTGAACTGCCAGTGGCTTCCTTTTTGAAGAAAGAATAAAATAGCCCTAAAATTCAGCTTAAGTCTCACCACTATAATTCATGAAGCAAATATTTTAGAGTTTTAAAAACTACATTGTGACAAAAGCTTACACGTTTTAAGGGCACAGACATATTTGGTTGGCTGATCTGCATTTTATTCTATAATCAGAGAATGCGTTTTGCCCGAGTCCAAGTCTCACTCCCAGGGGCAGCAGTCCCAACAGTTTTAGGTCATCCAAGTCATCGCCAGTGGGATCTGCAGGGGAAAAAACATCAGTTGCTGCCACCACTTTGAAAAGCATTTAAACCAAGTTTTCAGAAGAGAGCTTCTAAGGACAAGCTTTGTCTCACGCTCTAGTTTTCCTGTTTGTGTTTTTTTTTTTTCTTTAGAACTATAAACTGAGATGGGAAGGAGGGCTTATTCACCCTCCTGGATCTTGATTTTAGTTTCCAAATTTGGTATCTTATAGGCAACATTAATATAGTCTCTTTACATCAGGGAGAAATGCTCAGGATTAAGTAAAAACAAAAGCTTTTTATTGTTGAAACAGTGTTTGAAAAAAGTAATTCTTTTGTCGAAGATTATTTGGTTGTTTACTGTGTGACCTTCTAGGAAATAGAAATAAGCTCAAGGATCCTGTTTCAGGAGCCAGGACTGTAAGCTTAGATTTGAATCTTGGCTTTACCTCTTAACCTTTCTTTTTTCTGTTTTTTTTTTCTCTTTTCCTGTTTTATTGAGAAATGATTGCCACATCACTATAGAAGTTTAAGGAATACAACACCACAGTTGGATTTACAAACATTGTGAAAAGATCACCACAAAAGTTTCAGCTAACATCCATCATCTAATATAGATGTAATAAAAATAAAAGATATAAAATAAAATAAGAAAAAATTTTCTTCTTCTGATGAGAACTCTTAGGATTTACTTTTTTGTCCTCTTAACCTTTCTGATCTCAGTCTTTTTAATCTTTTATTTGGGGATAGTAGTGCCTATTTGATAAGGTTTTCTATGAAGATTTAATGAAAATGCCTACATAGGCCACAATTTAATAACATTTTTTAACTTTTATTTGTCTTAAGTAGTTGAACTATTTTTTTCCTTGAGAAGCTAGTTATCTGGAAGAGGGAGGAGCTGGAGAGAACACAAAAATCATCCTTAAAATTCTGTTTTTTCATAATAAACCACCCAAGTACACTTTATTCACCAGTCTGAAGCCATAAGCAAATTTTTTAAGGGTTCAGAGGGAATCATCTAAGATTACTGAAACCAGTGGTTTTTCAGCTATAATGTGTACTAATCACCCAGGAAGTCCTATTAAAATACAGATGTTGATTCCATTGGTCCGGAGCGGGGAGCCTGGGAATCTGCATGTCTACCAAATTCCCAGCTGACACCATGCTCCGGCCCAGGGACCACACTTGGAGCAACAAGGATTGAAACCCTTCTGGCTCCACTGCTTACTACTGTGACCTTGGACCAGATATTTACCCCTCTGTGTCTCAGCCGCAGCGCCTGTAAAACAGCAGCACTATGCATTTCATAGGGTTTCTGGGAATTTTAAGTGAGTTAATGTGCGCAGAACACTTAGACCAGTGCCTGGCCTGCGGTGAGCTCTGTACGCGTGTTAACTATCGCCATCTGACATTGGCCACTAGCAACATAAGTAAACTGTGGGCAGTGGGCCCAGAAGATGAAGTCATTTGTGATGCTAACAATTAGAATCCACACAAAGATTTTTTTTTTTTACCTGTTAACTATTGGCCTTTTGGATCTTCCTATAAATCTGATCTAAATAATACAAAAGAAAATAAGTTCCATGGAAAAGTTATGATGGTAGAATGGCAAATTTTGGACTATTCCCTATAAACCTCATTATGTGATCTTGGCTAAAGAAAGCAATATGTCATTCTATAGTCAAGGAGAATAAAAAGATCTGTGTAGGGGGCACAAGAGGGGACTCTTTCACTACAGACATCACATTTGTCTGTTTATCTTGTGTCTGTTTCCCCCCTTTTTTTCCATCCTCTCATGCAAGAGAAGAGGTACCACATGCCAAACTCCAGCAAAGAAGTACTTTACCCTTGACACCTGCTGGTTATGATCCTAGTCAATTTCACTCACAGCAAGTGATAAAAAATAAAGTGCCTCACTGTCTTGCTAACCCAGTTGCCAGCAATTATCTCAGAAAAGGGTGAACCTTTCACAGAGCCTATTGAAAGGTCCCTTTGACCACGGATATCATCTTTAAGAAAAACACACTCCAGGAAAAAGCCAAGGCAGATAGCAGATTGTCCATACCTTTAGGCCCAACAACACGGAGACTGCAACTCATTTATTTGGCCAAATCATTATTTGGGAAAGCACTTTCTAAAATAAAGGAAACAATTTCTGGAAACTACTGAACTGCAGGAGAGGCAGCCATTTAAAGGGAAGAAATAAGCAGACTGAGGCTCCTGTTCTGTGATAGGGCTGAACTAGATAGCAGTCACAAGGAGACCTGCCGCCTCATTTTCAAGGAGAGTCTGAAAAGGCCTGGGTTTCTCTGACAAAGACCCAGAACCGCCTGAGCAAGTCTGGCAGAGGAAAGGGGAGATTGGGTTTATTTCTAAGCCTCATTCTTGGCAGTCAAGTGAACTGCCCTGGGAATGGAGGTGGGGGCACCAGAAGGCAGAGGCAGGGACCCTAAGCGGCTGGAATAAATGCAGCAGTTCTCAAGGTCAGTAAATGATCGAAACTCACCAATGCATAATCAGGGGAGGACAGTGGCTACTGAGGAAAAAAGAGACATGGTGTAGCGTGAAATGTGAGCCAAATCCAGTTTTGGGGTTTTATGTTAAATTCCACTGCCAACAATACTAAGAGCTCCCTGAAAGGAGGTTCTCTTAGCTAACCACAATCCCAAATCTAAGGCATGGATTCTCAAAATTTAATATAGTTAGGAACTACTTATGAGAAGTTTATGAATGCAGAATGCCCAAAATTCTGAGTTAAATTTTCTGGGGCCCTAGAACCTGCACGTTAAATAAGCACATCCAGAGATTGTGATATAAGGATTCCATGGGACACATCATGGGGAACACAGGAGACACCAGGGCAACAGGAACTGTGCGCACGCAGCTCCCGGAAGCCCGCGCAGGCTCCAGTTCTACTCCTCCATTAGGTCTCACTTGCCTCCAGTCAGAAGATCAGAAGTCTCAGCTCCCAGCCACTGGTTTTTAAAAGCAATTTAAAAGCCTGTGATTTAAGAAAAGAAGAATAAGAGCATTTGTATACTTCAAATTGTGCATTATATCATTCTGTCAATGATTACATAAAAATGAAATACATTTTTCAGCCCAATGAATTATGGCACTGATGACAGGATAATTAGGAGTTTAAGTAGTCAAAACTTACACAAACAAAGCTATCTGAAGTTAAAGGAAGATTAGTGAGTAAACGCTGATAGCATTCAAGTTGGGTAAATTCTTTGATCATAGCAAGAAAATAATACCTCCTGCATCTTTTTCTATTACAGGTTTTTTAGATGCTTTCAAAATTCAATTTACAAGCTAAGTAGCTATATTACTACCCTCTTTTCACAAAATAGAAGCAGAGGAAAGTAGACATGCTAGTCCTGTGGGCTAAATAAAGAAATATAAAAAAATAAACCTGTGATTCTACAATCCTAGGAACTGACATGGTAATTTTATTCATTTCCCTTTCTGAGGCTTGTGTAGCCACTTGGAACACAGGATCCACTGCAGAGCCACACTCACTTCCCCATCACCACCCCTCATGCGGTGTGTATGTGCCTGTGTGGGCACACACGTGCCCTTT